TTGAACAGATCGATGATAACAATTTAATTGATTTTTCATCACAGGAAGATTATATTGAAACAATGAATACTCAACAAGAAAATAAGTCAACAAATTCAACACGTACATCTATGTCATCAATACATGATACACATCTTGATCCAAATGAATTAGCATATCGTCTAACACAATTACATTTACCGAATACATCCAGTCCACCGAAAAAAACTTTAGCTGATGAATTAGCTGAATTAGGTGAACAACATAATCGTTTTGAAACTGATTCCCTTGATCATTCTCCATCAATACAAGATGACTCGCAGCATAATTATCAACAACAATTAGAAGAAATTATAGAAGATGATAGTTTTCATTCCACTCCACATACATATTCAACAACAACCCCACCACCAGGAACTACTGAACATCTTACAACAATTGCAAACAATATTCGTGAGCTTAATCAGGAAAAATCAACTTTATCACGTCGTTCTACTGTTGAAGATATTCATGCACCAATAAATAATCAATATTCAATAATAACCCCACCACCATTAACGACTGGACATATTACAAGAGTTGCAGAAGATATTCGTGAAATTAATCAAGCGAAATCAACTTCATCACTTCATACTATTGTTGAAGATATTCATGCACAGACAAATAATCAATATTCAATCCCAACACCACTAAGTACTGGACATCTTACAACAATTGCAAAAGATATTCGTGAACTTAATCAGGAAAAATCAACTTCATCACGTCGTTCTACTGTTGACGATATTTATGCACCAATAAATAATCAATATTCAACAACAACTCCGACACCATTAAGTACTGAACATCTTACAAGAGTTGCAGAAGATATTCGTGAAATTAATCAAGCGAAATCAACTTCATCACGTCATTCTATTGTTGACGATATTTATGCACATACAAATAATCAATATTCAAGCCCAACACCACTAAGTACTGGACATCTTACAACAATTGCAAACAATATTCGTGATATTAATCAAGCGAAATCAACTTCATCACTTCATACTATTGTTGAAGATATTCATGCACATACAAATAATCAATATTCAACCACAACACCACTAAGTACTGAACATCTTACAACAATTGCAAAAGATATTCGTCAAATTAATCAAGAAAAATCAACTTCATCACTTCGTACTATTGTTGAAGATATTCATGCACAGACAAATAATCAATATTTAACAAAAATTGTTGATTATCATTATTCACCACCTATCGCAAACTTACAAACAGTTATGACTGACTTGCATCAAACACCTATAGGGAAATTTATTCCACGTCCACAACGACCAACACATTTGGAACTTAATCCTAACGAAGAAATGGAAGAAAACGAACAAATTTCATCACCTACTCTTGTAAATAATGTTCCAGTATCATCAAATATTATTTCTGATCTTGAACAACAATTATCTTCTTATAAAGTAAAAACACCTTCACCATCACTTCCACTTTCACCATCACCTCCACCTCTACCATCACCATCACCTCCATCACTACCAATATCACAAATAATGCCAAGAAAATCAAGTGAAACTTCTCTAAATTCAACACGTTATAATACACAACGTATTGATAAAGTATCAGATTTAGAAATTATGAAACAAGGTAAAGGTTTTAAAATTGGTTATGTCGATCGACAAGGTACAGATCAACGTGTTATATTAACAAAACGTATTGAAGCAGGACCTGATGTTATGGCAAGAGATCCACATGTTCGTTTACCATATAAAGGTAGAAAAATTTTAAGTCAAGTTTATAGTTCAATATTATATACAAATGGTTATAATGCAATACAAGAAGATAAGAAATTTGAACATTCATCTGAAGATATTGAAGTACCAATAATTGGCACTAACCCACAACATTTTGATGAGGTTTGTTGTTTTTTTCATATTGAAAAGAGAATAGTACTGAAACCTTACATATGATCATAGAAGTAGTCTGAATGATTTAATGGAATTTATATTCGAAAGACAGCAGTTATTTAATACTTATAACGTAGTATATATATTTATTAAATATTCTTATGATTTTCTTTTTCTAGTCTGATATGATATCAATTGATATCGATGGTCCTTCAACTATGTTAAATTCAATTTGTGAATCAATTGTTATAACTCAAGGTTCCGTTTATTCTAATAATGTTTCAAAACCCGTTGCAGAAAAACCAATTACTCATCCTATACCAAAAAGTATATTCGATAACACTCCTTCACATTCATCTTCAGCTGGTTTTCGTCATGTTGTAAAAGATTATCATGAAGAATATCTTTTTGATCGTTCACAAACACCAACACCAGTCAATAAAAAAGTTGAAGTTATTGATACATGGAAAGATCGTACAGTTATTGATGGTAGTAGTGCAACATGGCGTAGTTCATCATTACCATCACATAAAGCAACAAAACGTACTGATCAATCGAATGCAATTGAACAATTTATTCCTTCTTACGAACCTAATACAGTTCAAACGCGTATAGCACCATCACATGATGTTAAATATCGTACCAGTGAAGAAATAGATATTCCAGATGTATTCGATTGGAATGATAAATCAATGAATACACCAATAAAATCTAGTAAAACAACACGTGATATTGCTTTATCACCAATAATAGTCGAAAGACATTATCATACATCAAGTACATCACCAATTGAAATGATGCATGAAAAAATTGATCGATCATCGCAATATAGTCCACATGGACAACATGATTTTGGTTTACAATGTCATTTTGAAAATTTAACATCATCAACTCAAGTATCATCATATGATTTACCAAATTTTTTGATAACACATGGTGGTACACAAACAATCCATGATTCAAGTCATTTATTTGATGACTCAGGTATTCATACTCATCTACATGCAATTTCACCATCGCTATCAATGGTATCGTCAGAAAATCAACATACAAATCAACCATATACAATATCAGGAACAGATTATATTCATAAAACAAATGAACAACGTACTCCTACATCAGCATTAACTGTAACACAATTTACAGATGGACATTATTATCTTCCTGCAAATGATAATAATAATAATAATCAATTATCAATCAATAATCGTTCAACAACACTTGAAAGAAGTGCTGATTCAGGAATTCTTGTTGATGAACAAGTAATGATTATTTTGAAGTTTATTATTTTTTTTAATATTTCTAAATTAATTTTTTTCTTTAGTCATCACGTAATCGTCATACAAAAGCTAATTTTGCTTTACAAGTTGATATCAAAGGTTCATCATCTGATAGTGAAGATATTTCTGAAGTAGCACAACGTCCAATTCATCGAAAAAAATCATCAAACAATGATAATATTTATGAACATCGTAGTGAATTAGTAATAACAACTCGAAATGCTTCAATAAATGATAAACGTTATCAACAAGCAATGCTTTCCTCAGCTAAAGAAATTGAACAACAAATCATACAATTAAGACGAGAACGTGCACATATACTCGAACTTCTTTCATTAAATTGGAGTCGATCCAATATTTGGGTAGAATTAACAGAAGCGAAATTAAATTATATTATTGGAGAAACAGGTAAGTTCAATGAGTATAAACTCTTTTTTTCGTCTAATAAAGAAAATTCCTATTTTTATTTGAAATATGACTCAATGTCAATTATCAGTATTCTAACTGTTCGTGATTTTATTTCAGAAAAAATTCCAGTCTGATAAGAATCTTTTAATCAATCAATTACATAGCTTCGGATAGAATATCTCTATGGAACTATTACATTTCTAGAACTAATATGCATCATTAAACATCAATAGATTAAATATCCTTAATATAAAATAGAGTTATTTTTAAAAGGTACTTTAACATGTTTAGTCTTCTGGTACGCCTAATGGTTCATTTATATATTTCGAAATTTAAGATTATTTCTAAGGACATTTATATAATAGATCAAAGAGTCACTATAAGTCTTTTGTTTAGAATCAATTGCATAAAAAACTTACATCTATGTCTTCGAAAAAGCAATTAAATACTTCTAAGTGTTTCTTTTTTTTCTAAAAAAAAATTCATTAGAAATATTAATAAAAAAAATATATACTTATCAACAGATCAAAGTATTCTAGACATATAATAGGCTAATTATCTCCTACACTCGGTGTCATATATCCGTATCTTAAATTCTTCTAAATCATGCTTTTTTTGTGTCTAATAAGAATATGTCAAATAATCTAATTTTCGATTAAAAGCTAAATAATAAAAAAACGATATTTATCTTGAAAAATAAAAAAGGATTATAAAAATTCATCCTAATCTTTTTTTTCTCCTTCTTTAAATCTTGTCTGATGAATAAATCTTCAAAGAGGAGACAACAAAACAAAAATCCTAATCTTGTCTAAATAAGACATTTAGTTTTGTTCGATTATTTTTAATTAAATTATGGTTTTTTTTGTTATCATAGACGCATTACTACGTTCATTATCATTTGATGCTACCCCAGTAGATAATGAAAGAGTTAAAATAAAAATGCATCAATATGAAGAAGATATGGCGGAATTAACTCGACAACGTTTAGCTATTTATCGTGAACGTTTAGAAGATTCGAAAAAACAACTTGATATGAAAATTGATGAATTAGAATTAAAAAAATCATCAATTGGATATCATACATCACATTATTCAACTCTTGAATATACACCACGTGTTAATAATACGAATAAACGTTCAAAATCTTATTTAAGTACAAGTGCAGAAAATTTATCTAATATGCCTGTACAAGATTCAATATCGAGTCATCCACATCTTCTTGATATATCATTTTTAACATCAGCACCATCGAATCAAAATGCAGCTCTTCCACCACGTTATCCTCGTTCACCGCGTTATACACAACAACAAGAACCATATAGAACTGTTTATCGTCCAACACCACGTTATCCAACAACAATCAATCCGACAAATACGGAAAATCGTTATGATTATCCACGTTTTCGATCAACATCATATGTAACACCAAGTAGTAATTTATCTAATATGCAAGGTTTAAGTAAAAGTCAACAAGCTATATTAGATGAAACCGATAGATTAGTTAAAGATTCCCAACAATTTCATAATGAATCCGCATCACAATTTGAACGTGCAAGAGAAAGTCTATTATCAAGGTAAATAAGATTGTTTTTTTGTTTTTGCTAAAAAATGAAATTTCTATAAAAAGAGTACCCAACATTTTCAGTTCGTAATTCAAACAGGTAATTGATAATTTCCTTCTCTTTATTTGCATGAACGAATGAATGAATGAATGGATAAATAAATAAATAAATGACGCTCGCTAGCATGATTTCTTAAGTGAAAAAGTATTAATTTGATAATTATGGTTTCGTTTATTTTCTTTAGTGAAACACCTATACGATTAGCACGAGCTAATATGGCTGCATCTCGTCTTTCACCAAATTCAGCTTATCTACCAAATGATGTAACACTTGCAGAATTATTTAAATATGAACAGTCTTTAGCTAAAGAAACAGCGAAAAATACTCGAACTTATTCATCAATATCGACAACTGCAGAATCTTAGCATTTAAGAAAATTCTTTTTATTTGTATAGTTTATAATTGATTTCTTATATAATTTTTATGCCGTCCATTTGACGAAAACATCCACGCACAAATAAATATGCTGGTGCTGATCAAGCTCAGTTTTTTGTTTCTTTTTTTCTTCTTCATGAGTGTCTATGTAGTTCGTTTTTTCTTTCGGCTATTGTTGTTGTTACGCGACATGTGTTTTCTTTTTTTTCTCTTTGTGTGTGTTGGTTCCATTTTCTTTCTTTCTTTCTTTCTTTCTCTCTTTTTTTTAAAAGCTCAATATTTCATTTTTGGCTATTTTTGAGATTTGTATGAAGAAAAAAATAAATAAATAAATAATATTGTAATCATCAATATGATAGACTTTATCTGGTTTACTTGCGTCAAGAAAAAGAAGAAGATTTTCTGGTTCTATGAACAAATATATTGATTTTCTTTGTTAATATCATCGTTAAATGGAATAATGGTGTGAATAGACTTGATCTTGAAAAAGAAAAAAAAAAAAGTAGAAAAAAAGGAGATGGAAAATCCTGTTTGCATTTCTATGCGCTCGGTCGGTCACTATAGCTTTCTCTATTTTTTTACGACCGGTGTGTTGCGCCGTACATCCGTTTTTCACGCACTATGCTTTTTTTTTTGCTTTTTCTTATATAATGTCTTTTTTTCCTATGATAATTAAAATAGTTCTCTTGCTCGTCTCTCTTTGGATAAAAAAAAAAAAGAAGAGAACGTGTTAATGCTTTCTGCTTAAAAAACAGCCGCCAAAGAACACAGGTAACCGACATTGTTGCCGCTGTAGCAACCAGGATGTTGATGAGCATAAAATCATATTTCATGTTCTTCTTCTTCTTTTACTTTCTCTTTCTCTCTCTCTCTTTTTCTCTCTTCTAAAATCCCTCTCTCTTATAATCAACATTAAAACTACCACATAAATCTTCACCTGAACATCTTTGTAGTAAAATATAGAAGAAAAAAAGATAATGTTTTCGCAATACGGTGTTGTTACACCACATCATAGTCTTCCTACTTATTTATTTACAACTGATCATAATTGTTTTTATAAAATTATATGTAAGATATAATAATTATTATTCATAAGAAATTATTCATTTTTAATTTTTGTATAGAAAGACAAGAATAAATATTTGTCTTATTAATAGTTTATGCATATTAATAAAAATGCCAGGACGAAAAGTTCGAATGACAACAAGCTCATCATTAATTATTATTGGTACTTCTCTTACAAATCCAATATCTCGAACAATCAAAGGTAAAAATAATATATATCATATGATTAATTGTACATAAAATAGATCTACTTTATATGTAGAAAATAAAAGAGGCTTGAAGTTACGCTTCGAATATTCTTAAAGAATTGACGTCATTCGTTGTCAGCTGTCATAATCATAGAATGCCTCAAGTAATATTGACTGTAAATGAATTATAATAAAGACATAGGAACTAAAAAGAAAACAAAACTTAACATGCCAAATGTTATTTATTTTGCTTTAGAAAAAGAAAAAAGATATAGTAATCATGACTAAGATATTTTGCTAATAAGTAGTATTGAAAAGGAAACATATGAAAAGCCCATGGTTGTTCTATTATTATCATCGTTGTAGTAATCTGATTTAAGTCTTTTGCTGTTATTCGTGCATAAAGCAATCAATCTGCTATTATTGTCAAATTAACCATTATGATTCACGTGTATATAGATTGAATAATTAAATCTGTAATGACTATACTATAAGAATATTTATGTAATATGATTTTATAGTTTAACATAGAAAAACGCATGAATATATAAACTTAAGTTGTCTTTCGTGACTGAATTCATTAAGGAAATCGACTTTGTTAGATTTACCTAGTTCAATATGCGTGCATATTATTTTTTCTTTCTTTGACAATTAGTCGCATATATATATATGTTTTGTTGTTTATTAAAGAATTAGCCTTTAGGCAAATCCGATTGTAAGCATTATTTTGAAACGATAGTAGATCGACTCATCGGAAGTTGATGATCTAAATACTCGTTTCGGAAAAGAAAAAAATAGAATGAATGATGATGGGTGAGGATGATAATTTAGAGTACCCTCTTGCCTCTGCATTTCTCTTCTCTCTCTCTCATTCTTCTGTTTTCTTTGACATATTTTTGTATGTGTATCTAGTAAAGATGTTATTGCTTTTAGAAATTCCGATGTTGATAAGGATGAACATACATCTCATTTCATTAACATCCGAAAAATATTAGCGTATTCAAGCATTCCATTGACAATTAGATAAAGAGGCTTATATCTACATTGATTTTTTTAAGTAAAAGAAGATAGATAACATTTGAAAAAGAAACATCGTATATATTTAACCAAAAGAGAAAACAAAACTTGCGAAAATTATGTTACAATTTGGTGGAGATGTAACTGAGGTGAAATTTTATCAAAACAATCGTGGTCGAATATTTGTGAAATTAAATGATGGTACAATGTTTGATGGTGTGATTTTAACTTTTTTTTTACTAATTTTCAATTATAAAATTTATATAAATTTCTTTCTTTTTTCTATTTTTAGTGTCGGGAGCAACAGGCACAAAACGACATCATCATCATCGTCATTCATCAAAAACGAACAAAGCAGCCGTAGCAACACTTAATAATGAAGGTGGTTAGTTATAAGAAGACTTAATTTTATTCCGAGGAAAGAATGTTAAAAAAAGGAAAAACACTTGCTCTTATTCTTTTCCGGTCGATAAAAGTAAACATGAATCCAATAAAAACACATAATGAATAGAAAAACACTATTTTTTGACATTAATAACATCGAACATTTGACAGTCTTCTGATCTACTTGATGACTTTCTATTTCGAACATATAAAGATTAATCGTTGTTTAAAATGTCAAAATAACTTAAATCGAAGATCTAATTGAATATCGATTACTTGATTTCTTATTTGATTAACAGTGTCACTTTTCATCATCGGCATGTATCACAAAAAAAAAGAGATGAAACTAATAGAATGCTTACACATATATATTTCCATTAATACCATACTCTCACACATCTTCCGTTGGTTGCTATCTTTCTTTTTCCAACTGCGTTGAATATCTATCATGCGAATATGATTTGTTTTTATCATCTACTTTTTTTTCCTCTTTCATTATTTGTATGGCATGTAGAATATAATGCTAGTTAGCTATCTTTTTCATACTTTGCATGTCCATTAGTTAATTCTATTTGGTATAGAAGAGGAACTTCTTTTACGTGAATCAAAAAAGGCCTTAATTCAGCGTAAATCACTGTTTTTTTCCTAATAAATTTGTTTATTTCATAGTACTTTTGTCATAAATAGAAAGAATTGTACATTTATTTGATTTATTAATAAGAAAATTTATTATATCATCATGTTATTATCAGAAAATCTGCCACCGATCTTTTCAAGCAAATCAAAATCAGCTAGTAATAGTGTTCTTACGAAACTTCGTTCTACCAATTCTTCAAATGATATTATTGAACGTGATGTTACTAGTTTAACAAGAATGAGTAATTTACCAGCACCAGATTCATTTGATGCATTACAAATTAGCAGTGACAGGTAAATCAAACACACACAAACTATTTTAAAGAAAAAGGAAAAAAAGTACCATATGACCTATATACTTTTTGTATTTAGACTGCGAACAATAATTGCTGCACTTCATTGTAATATACTTATACGAAAAGACGATCTAGTTCGTAATCTAGATTATGCTGCAAATGTTCTTGAAGCTGTTCATCAAGATGAAACAAAGTAAGTGCTTATCCTATATCATCCATCGATCACGTAGATCCCCTTACTTATAAATTATTTGGGCTATATATAAGTCCTTATATATTCTCACAGCCAAAAGGAGCAGCGATGCATATCATCAAGAGTATCTTCGAATCGGTAAGCATATCAGATATGCTAGCTCGTTATCTTATTAACCATAATAATAACCTTACACTAATCACAATTTATAAAAAAAATAGCTTCTCATATTGCACACTTAATAATTAACCTCGAAAAACAAAACTCCTTTTTTATTCTTTCTATTAGTAACCACATAAACACAATGCTAATATTTCAATTAGCTGCACTATAGATTAATTTCTATATATTTAAAGAAATATCTATTTACCTTGAAAGAATGTCCAAATATCGTAGAATAGCATATATGCAACTATGATACTTTGGATAAATTACCTTGTTGTTCTATATGTAATAATAGTTTGTAGCATAAACACTACTCCTTTTTTTAAATTCATTTATTCATCCTTGTATGGCTTTTTTTGTTTACAATTATAAATACAGTATTTTCAAGGAGAATTTTATTTCTTAACATTCACTATCATCATTATTGATGAAAAGCACATCTTTAAAAGACGTTTTTCTTTACAACAAAAAGAAAACTGTCGTCAATAACTGTCATGTCACCAGAAGAAAATTTGTAGCTTAGTAAAAAAAAAAAGAAAAAAAATCTGTTCATTTTTATATATTTGTCTGCTTATGTCAGATTTTCTTTTTTTTCTATTTTACAGACGACTTATGGAAGAAGATGATGGTGCCTTATCAGAAATAGAACCAGATTCTGTACCAAATGAAGTACGAGATTGGTTAGCAATGACATTTACACGATCAATGTCAACGATAAAAAATCGTCCATCAGAAAAAAAGAAATTTAAAAGTGTTGCACAAGCAATTCGTGCTGGAATTATGGTTGACAGGTGTGTTATAATATTTAAATATATATATATATATAATTATATTTCATTATTAATTTGATTAAAAAAAACAAAAAAAGAAAATTTTCATTCATATTAAATTATAAGTATCTCTGACAGAAAAATTGATTTTTTTTTATTATTGTGTCTTGCAGCTGTGCCAGGTATGACTTAAGCAGTCGCGCTATCTCTAGATGCAGCCCGCATTTTTTGTCGTATACTTTAAATGTTTATTATTCTCTTCTTTCTCTATATACCTCTATATTCCTTCTTTCTACCTTCTCACCACACTTTTCTTCTGATCACCCATTATCAGGATTGTAAAAAATTGGTCTCTACATCTTAAATTAAAGGTATGATTATTACAATAACACTATTATACAAGGCATGATGTGCCGAAATTTGATTTGACTATGTGCATGTATATCCCCTTATTTGGATGTGTCGCTCGAATTGGCATCCATTGTTTTGTGTATGTTTTCTAGGTACCTGAGGCGTCTGTCTATCGACATTAAATTTAAGGTATTTCAAAAACTAACAATTAATTCTATCACTCCGATATCCTACATTTTACTCTTTCTTTCATCTGAGCTCCTTATATCAGATCACATACCCTTATTAACAATATTTCTTTCTTTCTCTCTTTCTTTCAATAAAAATCTTTCTTTTGCACCACCGATATTCACGCATAAACATGCATAATATACACATACACTTATCTTCTTCTTCGTGTTTTATCAATGTCTCCTTTAACTATTTATACACGCTAGCTAGCTATATTACACATGTATATATAGATTTAAAACAAAAAATAGACCAAAATCCCTTTAGACTATTTCGAAGGAATATTTCGGCTATAAGTGCGGTAATTCAACAAGTAAGTGAATTAATAGTCAGACAAAGATAGGTAAACCTTTTGTTCTTTTTTTTTATTACTCCCTTATAATTTTTATTTGCACGAATGCGTTGAATGTGCATGCCTTTCATGTTGTTTTGTTCAATAGAATATTTTGGTAGAAAAAAAAATTATTTTGTTGATCAGAACTTTCTTTCGTTTTTTTTTCTTCTTTTTATAAATACTTAGACAATCAACGAATGGACATTTGATGTTTTTTCTGTTAACGAATTTACAAATGGACAATGTCTACGTTATGTTGGCTTTGAACTTATGCAACGTTATAATTTACCAAATAAACTTCGTGTAATAGGAAATTTATTTCTAAAGAGATTAAAGTAAAAGTATGCTCGGTTATTTTCATTTAGATTCCTGTAACAGCCCTGCAGAATTTTCTTGAACAAATGGAAATGGGTTATAGCAAATATCGAAATCCATATCATAATTTAATTCATGCAGCAGATGTTTTGCAAACAATATATCAAATTATCTATAATTCCGGTCTCATGGTAGAGGTTAACACAGTTTTAGTCTATTTTTGCTTTATAGCTTGTAGAAATTAGAATCATATGTTAGTTGTCTATTCATATTATATAGCATGTATAAAATTAAATTTTTGTTGACGCTTCACACCACTAATTAATAGTTGAATTCAAGTCATTTTGACATGGGTTTTTTCTTTATTTGAAATTAGAATTGGTTGACTGATCATGAATTATTTGCAACGTTTATTGCGGCTATTATACATGATTTTGAACATACAGGAACATCAAATAATTTTCATATTCAATCAAGGTAATATAATATGCAATTTGTCTCTATAACAGTTATTTTTAATGAGAACTATTTCTCATGTACACAGGAAATATACTTTAAATTACAATACTAATAGATTATTCAAACAAGTAACGCTCGTCTAAGAACTCGCTTAGCTCTTTCTCGTAGAAATGGTGTTATACAATGCTACGGGACCTTTTGCTTATATAACTTGCAAATACTAACATCAGATTCGTGTTCGCAGACCTCAAAAACCGTTTCATCAAATTTTATACAAAAAACCTTTTTTGTAAAAAAATGGTCCTTTTTGTCTAAGAAAATATTTTTTTTAAAGAATTTTGAAAAACTAACATCAGATTTGAAGTGTCTGCATCGAAATACCTCTAGAAATGTCTTTTTCGAAAAATCGGTCTTCGATGTTTTTTTGACCCTGTGGACACACAAGCAGATAATTTATGTTTACTGGACTCTTCTCTACGAGAAAGAGAATTGTATTTTGACAGTACGACCGAGTATATGCTAAATCATAGTCGATGTACTAGGGAAAGAATGAAATATAGAATAGCATTCTATTCATATAAATATTATTATCAACGATGATACTGTTCGATAAAAATCATAACTATTTCGTTGAAAGTCTGAATTTGGTTTTTTATTAAATTTAGATCTGATGTAGCCTTAACATACAATGATCGTGCTGTACTGGAAAATCATCATGTAAGCGCGGCATTTCGATTACTGCGAATCGATGATTATAATATAGTTTCTGAATTTACATCCGATGAATATAAGTATGATTATCTTTTTCTTTATTTATAATTTTCAAGATTTTGTTTTTTTTAATTATTTAAAGAAATTTTCGTCACTTAGTTATTGAAATGGTGCTTGCTACGGATATGAGTTCTCATTTTACACAGTTAAAAACTATGAGAAGTCTTTTAAGTATGCCGGAAAAGTAAGTTTATTGATTTCAAAGTTCTTCACGAAAAAAAACTAAACACATCTTAATTATTAAAAGTATTGAAAAATCTAAAGCATTAGCACTTATTCTTCATTGTGCTGATATAAGTCATCCTGGTAAACCATGGACAATTCATCAGATATGGACAGAATCATTGATGGAAGAATTTTTTACCCAAGGTGCAAAAGAAAAAGAACTTGGTTTACCTTGTTCACCATTATGTGATCGAGAAAATACACTTGTCGCGGAATCACAAATTGGTAGATTATATTTATGAATTATTATTATTTATATAAAAATTTATTTTTTAAAGGTTTTATTCAATATATTGTTGAACCATCATTTATTGTCATGGGTGATATGTTAGAAAAGATTCTTAAATCTTTCGTTGTTTCGGATTCTGAACTTCCATCACCGTCAATACCCGGTCGAAGTAATGCTACATCTCCAACACCATCAGGAGCATCATCAGGTGGTGATTCAAATGCTCAAAATGACGAACAGAATGGGTAAATCAAAAAATACTTTTAAATATAAATATTTAATAAATTATTTCAGACAAGACAGACAATTACCTTCATCCATGACAACACCTTTAGCTCGACCGACAGTTGTTCGAAGACCATGGTCTGAATATCTTAAATCAAATCGAGAACGATGGTTAAAAGAAGCAGGTTAGAAAAAATAGATTCTCCTATTGAAATAAAATACTTTTGATTGTTTTTTGTCTTTATAGAAGAAGAAAGACGTCGAAAAGAATTAAAAGTTATTGAAGAAGAACCATAAATTCTTATTTTTTTAAATCTTATAACATTCCATACTGACATACTCACACATAATTTTTTCTTTCTCCTATGCAATTTATTTATAACTCTTATCGGACATTTCGATAAATAATGAGAGTATCATTATTAATAATTATTTATTTATATATGTATAGGTGTGTATGTATAGATATTTGTATGTTTTTTGTTGCTGCCTACATAAATCTATATTAATATAATTTTCGCTTCAAATTAGCTTTTGGTTTTTTTTTCGTTGCTAATGTCAGTTCTTTGAAGTTAGTTATTCATATTTTTTATAGTGAAGTGTTTTATGTTATATTCTATTTCTTTAATAAACATGAATAATAACGAAATATTTTCAGTATGAAAAGAGAATTTAACTAGATCTCCACTTGAACTTGCTTCACGTGGAAGAAAGGCGGCTAACCACAGAAGTGTTTGATTTTATTCTTCTATATATTTTTTTTGTTCATATTTGTACTTCTAAAAATATTTATTTCATTTTGAATAAATGAAACATTTACATCATATATACTTTTTAAAATATATGAAAAAAAGCAAGTATTAATCTTCACAATATGGTAAGTCAATTGGCGTGATATTTGTATTACAGAAAATTCCATTTGCACGAGCATGATTCACAAAAGCCTCCCAACCAACATGTTGATTAGCTAACTGAGTTAAATTTCCAAACACATACAAAGCATATTTTGCTCGAGTTAACATTACATTCACACGATGCATATCATCTAGAAATCCAATATTACCACCACTACGAACACATGATATTATAATGATATCTTTTTCTTTGCCTTGTGAACTATCCACTGTCATGATTTCAATATAGGATGGTAAATATTGTCGAAGCAGTCGAACTTGAGCTTTATATGGCGTAATTATAGCAATACGTTGTTGAATTTCAGCTGATTGAGAATCGTTAATTGATAATCGTTGTAAACGTCTTCTTTCAATTTCTACTTCATCAAAACTATCATTAGCTGTCCTATAGCTCGAAATAGACAAATTAGTTGTGCTGGATGCATCATCATAATCATCATCATCATTGTCGTCATCACTATTGTCATTACTTCTTTCATGATTGTTACTGTTGCTAGAGACTAATGCACGCTGCTCAGCTAGATGCGCAATCAATAAATTACAAAACGCTCGTATACATTTAGCTTCACCTTCATTACATGACGAGTTAGCACTATCATAGGTATGTGGTAAGTTAGTTATGTTATATAGATATAATGATTTTAAAGTAAAGTTTATCGTTCTTGCCACTACTGAATCATCGGTTATTAAACGATTGGAATAGAAGTATTCATTTGGAAAACTACATATATCTGGATGCATCCGATACTGAATATTGAGCATACCTATTGGACTATCTGGATATTGATCAAAAATAGAAAAAAGACGTCCATAAAGAGATTGAGATAAACCATACATTTTTCCAGCTTCACTCAGAACACACGGCTCAAGCTGTTTTGGATCGCCTACAAGCATCAGTTTAGTACATTTAAATCGAAGTGGTAGAAGAAGGTCAGCTTCTGAAGCTTGACATGCTAAAAGAAAAGAAAAGGAGACCTTATTTTTATTATTTAATAAATTCATAATGTTTTATCTCTCATTCCAATTGAAAAATAACTGATCTCATGTCTTTTATTACTGTATATATTCTATTGAATGACATTAAAATCTACCTTCATCGATAATAATGAACTCTGTAAATGATTTCAGTTGATGCATTCTTGCATTTCCACAATAATTTAATGTTGATATAACTATTTGAGCATCTTGCATAAGGCGCAACTCAGTTTCTTGAGCAATAATACTTGGATATATTCTTCGTCCCGTTTTCAAAGCATTCACTATATCTTGTAAAACCATAAAATCTAAGAAATATTTACATAAATGATAGTCATCAGGTGGTTGACAACCAATGCGAACTAATCTACCTATTCAAATTAAATTTATTTTAAAAAGAGTTGAATAGATGTTTTCTATGTTGAAAAACACTTACCCTGTTCGTAAAAAATATCTTTTTTTTTTTCTTCTTCAAATCCAGCAAGAATACGACGAGACAGTTCGTCACATGCATTATTTGATGGTGCACAAAGAAGAATTTTTTGTTTATGTCCTTTTTCCGCTAATTTAGGCAGTAATTTCAATACAATACCTGCGATTGTTCGACTTTTGCCTGTGCCTAAATATATAAGAACATAAAAAGATTTCTTAGTTTTATTTTAAGAAGTACTAGTATTATTACCAGGAGGACCATATACAAGATGCATTCGTTGTTGAATATCACTAAACATACATTCAGCAATAGCAATTGTTTCTGATTGGGCTGTATTAAATCCATCTGTGGGATTCATAATCAATGGATCGTAATTATTAGGTTTTTGAAAATAAATATCATTGATCATGGGTTTCAATATACTTCGATATTGGGGCCAGTCACTTAAATTATGTATAGCCATAATCCTACGTCTTGTTGATGTTATATTTGTTATTTTTATTATTGCTAATTTATTATCCTTCGTTTGACTACGGTATTGCTTAAATGCATCAGAACATGCACGTGAAACATAAACGCCAATTGTTGTATTCAATTCGATTTTGAGATTATTATACTCACCATTGTTCGCATTAACATCTACCAGACGATTATTTTCATCTGTTACTTTAAGTTTATTGCGTTCAACATAAACACTTATACCAAAGTATTCCTTATTATTGACTTTGATAAGAACAAGATCAAAAAGACCAGGTTTCTTTGATAGAGGTTTATAATTATCATCTATAAAATATAACTTACAGTTTAATCTAATGAGAATTAAAAAAACCTACTATAGATCACACGATTAGTTCCAAAAATAAGTGCACTTTCTTTTGTCTGATCATGAGTATTCTCGTCAAAGAATAAGCTAGCATTAATTACTGTTTCACGTTCTTCAAGTTTTGTTTCAACATTTTTAAAATCCTTAATTATTTCACTCCACAATTCATGATAATATAATGGCACTAGATATCTCTCGTACAAATCTAAAGCCTTATCGACATTAAATGAGTCAATATCATTATTTGTTTCATCTATAATGTACAATGTAAACTTTTATTGAATTATTTTCTACAATACAATAAATTACCGTATGTTTTCTCTACATGTTGTAAAGGTTCTGGCGTTAAACTATCATGAAGCTTTCTAATATCAGTTTTTGGTGGATACAGATATTTTGGTTCCCATCGAGTAGCAATTCGGTCCAATAATGAACGAATAGAATTTTTTGCATCATCCGTCCATGGTCGACCAGGCCGATGCTCGCTTATTTCATCAGGATCAAGAGTTACTCCTCGAAAACTCATAAGAATTGTACCTTGTGGTCTAGATATAGTTTTTATGGCTTTATAATCAAATTTAAACAAATTAGGTGCCGATGACAGATCCTTTTTAAACAGAAAATATTTTCGAGCTATTTTCCAGTATCTACTATCAGCACCCTTGAGCCGTTCTTTAAACCAAGCACTACCAGAAAATAAATATTCATCCTCCATACGTAACGTTTGTTAATGTTCGATAACCGAAGTAAAAAAGACGTGATATAATATTTTTTCTCAGTGTATTTATAATACTATAATATTAAACAAAAACATGAATGTGGCTAGACGCTTCAGTGGTCACGTGTCTACGATAAAATTAAACTAACAGAAACGAAAAAAATACGGTAACTGATGTCGTAAACACAACCGTATTTTTGCAAATATTATGGACTGTCTGAGTGATAAGATACGCCAAAATGTACAGTTATACTTTTAATTCACAATAGAGACAAGTAAAAGCACGCTAGGAAAAAGAAAATGGTGCTTTTTTTTAGTGAGTTTTTATTTTCTGCCAACAATAGAAAGAACTAGACCTCCACTTGAAGTAAGTTCAAGTAGAATAAAGGTGACTGACTGCAGAAGTATAACAATTCTCATAAACGCGGAAAGTTGAACCACTTAAAATTTTGTTTTATTTTATCCTAAAAATCAATTAATTAAACTCAGACAAACAAACCATCGAATTTATTTTTCATAGATTACACTCTATCACGATGGATTTAAGTCAAAAAAGACGATAATTAAAATGTATATGCATATACTATCTGATATGTCAATGGTCGTATAATACTGAGTCACAGATAACCATATAAGGAAATCATCATATATTAATTAATTTTTTTTTTGAAATTATGTATCTCTTGCACGGAACCGATTTTCAAAAAACGATTTTGAAATATGCACTTAGCACGTTCTCACGAATATGGCAAGTTTTTTTCCGATTTAAAATGTTACTTAGGTGCTAATAACGAGTGGTTGACTTGAATTGTGATTCATCTGACGAGAAGAAGAAGAACATCAAAAGCAATCACATAAAGAATTAATTATTACATGTGAATGAATCCTTAATTAAACCGAGACATATTCTTTAAAAAATTTATCTGACACAATGTACTGTAACAATATAAGAGAAGAGGATATTTCTATCTCGAATATATATATGAAATTTTAGCGCCATCTATTAATATTAAATATTGAAACATTTTCTAATAATATATCAATTAGAATTTACAACAAAATATTGAAATATAATTGTATCTCAAAAACAAAATTGAATTAATGCTAAATCGATTTTCTTCAATGAACAAAAAGAGTTTCGGTTCTTTGTTTCATGTTCAGTCATTGTTCATTGTTCATTTTTTCAATCAATATAGCAGTTTCTTTCTTGCATTATCGGAACTATGGATTCTACCAATATTATTATTCCATTTGATTTTCCATTTGCTATTTTGGGTAAGAAAAATAGTCTTTCTCTCAGTTCTCTTCTTCAATCAAATCAAATTCTTTTAGAAAATCGTCATAATCCTGATCCGAATGATAAACTCGTTTATGCCGTTGCTGATGGTCAATATACATATGGTCCACTTTCATTATATCAATATCATAATGATGAAAATTATTCTAAAACGTATATTTTCTATCTATTCAAATGAATAAAATAATTTACTCTTTTTATTTTTTGTATAATAGAATTCGAGAGGAAGAATTACCACCATCATTACCATGCAAAGTAATAACAAAAATCTTTTTCTTTCAATCTTTATTATTTTTTCATTTTAAATAAAGGAATTTTATATTGTTGAATCTGGCTTTACAACTGATGATGCAATTGAAATAATCGATGAAAATCGTGGACCTATTCATGTTAAAGAACTTTCTATTGTCGATGACGATTCTATGATAACGTTTGATACCGAATCTGAACAAAGTTTGTTTTATTCATGGATTTTCTCATATAAACTAAATCCTTTTTGTTTCTAGTTCATATGAAAGAACTTTTTAAAGAAATGGCTGAATGTAAAAATGAAATTCGAAATCTTAAATCAATTGTAAAATATGATCTATGTTCTATACATAATATTATTCTATCTTCATTTTAGGTTTTATCTGAAAATCGTCTTAATACACGTCGATCAACTTCAACAGGTAAACAAAAAAGAAAGGAAGAATTATTTCATTAAAATCTCATATTCGATTATTTAGATTCGCCTCATTATCAAGATGCAGAAAATAATTCTAAATGGATTCGTGGAGGTGCTGGTCATCGTTCAGCAAATACTGGACATATGTCTGATGATGGTGGTGTATCAACCCCATTACGTTACAAGAAATCAACTGGTATTCGTAAACCTCAACAAGTTCAATCATCAATTGTTCAACGAAGTGTATCATCAACATTAACAAATAGAAATGTTTTAACACCACTTCGAGGTAAAACAACATCAACAATGTCATCAGTCACAGCAAAATATGCTACACCAATGCGAACAGCATTATCAACAACTAAAAAAGTTGTTTTAAAAAATATTAAATCATCTGGTTATGGACAATTTAATGTTACAAATAATACAACAACTACAATTAAAAAACAACAACAACAATTGGCTACACTTGCAACACCTGGACGATCGTTTAGAAAATAATTCATTCGTGCATTTCTTTTTCATTTCTCTTATTCTATGTCGTTGTGTATAGTTCATAACTTTAAATAATTTGCTCGTTGTATGTATGATTAAAACAAAACAAAATGATAAATTTATGTATTTTCATCTATATGTTCTAATTGTGAAAATAAATTGTATATTCTTTCAGAAGAAAAATCAATGAATTATTATCTTATTGAATAAAACTGAATGAATTTTAAATACTGATTATTCTCCATAAATCAGAAGACTATTTAATTCTCGAGATAATTACTCGTTCATTAATATATTTCATGTTACAACTGTTATTTAGTTTAAATCAATTATGATTAAATATATCATCGTCGATAAAAGAAAATAATCGTATGTGAATGATTACAGGAGGATTTTATGTATTATACAACATATAATTTTAGATCGAATCATATTATTGGTTGCAATAGAAACTTAGATTAAAGTGAAGTTAGGGTAAACCTGGAATGATGATCTCTGATATTTTCTTTTCGTATAATATAGATTTATCCAGGGGTCCTATTTCTATATCTGAATTCACTAGAAGAATATAGAGAAAGATATATATATACATATATCACGTTCTCTCTATCCTCCTATATAAACGAAGTGTATTTACTTTACATTTTACTTTTAGACATATATCTATAATGCATTCATCATTTGCTCTCTTATTCTTAACTATCCTTGTTACTAACCTCTCATGGTCAGTATTGGCCGGTGATTTTCCAGTAACAGGAGTAGTTTTACTTCAATCAGCACCTCGATCAGATGCATTTGGTACTATTAGCATTAACCAACAATTTGAAGGTTATTTATTTATTTATTTATTTATTCTTTATTATTTAAATTTCATTTTTTTAATAGGTGGACCATTAACTGTTGAAGGTATTTTTTTCAATCTTAAACCAAATAGCCGTTTCGGTTTACATGTTCATGAACAAGGTGATATTACTAATGCATGTACAAGTGCTGGTGCCCATTTTAATCCATATATGAAATCAGTAAGATTTGTCTTGAATATTTTCTCTTTAGAAAAGTCATTTAATATTTCTATTATTTAGCATGGTAGCGAACGAAGTGTTGAACGTCATTGGGGCGATTTCGGAAATATTGTCAGTGATAGTTTAGGTACTTCACGAGTATTTCTTACCATTGTTGAAGGTTCATTGATTGGTACTGATGGAGTAAGTGAAATTATTTTGAACAAAGAACTTATCTATTAATTTATTTTGTTTAAATTAGTACCTTGGCCGAGCTCTTGTTCTTCATGAACGTGAAGATGATCTTGGTTTAACTGAACATGAAAAGAGTAAAACAACAGGGTAAGATTGATTTAATACATATAATAATATTTATTATTTTTTCTCTTTGTTTTCTTATAGAAATTCAGGAGAACGTATTGCTTGTGGTGTTATTGGTATTCGTCGACCAATTGATCGTTTACCAGTTTCACAACAAGTACCATTGAGTTCAAATAACCAACGTCAATCAAATTTTGGTTCACAACAATTCCGTCAACCATCACAAGGATTAAGAACAGTTCAATAAAAACAAAGAACTCTTTTTTTTCTTATTGTTTTTTCTTATTGTTTTATTTACATACTCACAAACCTATTTGATGTATTTCTTACATTAGACATTTCTTTTTTTGAATACAGAAAGAAAATATGTCAATAAAAAAACCGGAGAAAAAAGCAAAAGATAATCTTTTATTTAATGATATGTCTTTCTCAGTTTCAACACAAAAATATTTACAGCATTCATATATTTCAAATGCTTATCTACCAATTAATTTGACAAACGATTTGATAAGACTGTCATTATTATATCTATTCCAACTACAACTAATGATATGTCTATGTCAGTATATTGAATAGTTGTAGTTTTACTATTCAGTTAGTGAGTTGTTTTTTCAATAAAGACTGCTAGTAATATGTACACAGTCTTTACATAATCATTTGTTTCGAATAGTACATAATGATGCTTCTTTTTTTATATTTTATTTTCAAAGTTTTTAATGATGACACATCCAGCATTAACAAATCAGGGCGTTGATATTTACGAAGGGTTTAGCATACACCATGTCTATTTAATGAAGGAAGATATCAAACTAGCTGTGAAGTTCTCATTTCTGTCTTACCATCTGTTATAAATAAGGTTTTATTTTAATACATTTATTTATAAAAATAGAAATTTTTGACTTCAAAAATCAAACAAAAAAATCAAACAACATTATAAGCTCTTACTAAACAGCTATTGTTAATATCTTATCTTGAACGAAGTCAATAATTTATTCAGCAAGTAAAGTTCCAGTATTCTAATAAATTTATTTGATATAGTCACCGTACTTAGAGTATGAAATTGTAGTCGAGAACTTTCAAGAATTAACATCTGCCTTCATGTCTGTCCATAAGTTAACAATTGTAATGTTCTTTTTCTCTTTTTTCATAAGTTCTTCTTTTCATTCGCATATTTCTAACACGCCTTTGTCCCGTCAGACGCAATCATTGATCAAAAAGAAAACACGAGAACACAAGTATTTGTTTGCATAAGCATTTTTCAATTTCATTCTTTCCAATTCCACCAAAAATAAGAACATTTCACTATCTGAAAAATGATTATTAATGGTGATAGTGACGCAAATTCGACTCTTGAACAAAATGGAACTGTATCATATATTAAACTTGATGAACATTCAACATTGAATACATATTCATCAACTGTTCTTAGTAATTATAGTGCCGATGATGAAAATGATGATAATCATCATCTACCAAAATTTATATGGAAACGACAAAAAATTTTCGATAACAATTGTAATAATCCGTAAGTTGATTTACGTATTATTTTTTTGTAAAGGTTAAGGACTAATCCTTAGAAGAAGAAGAAAAAGCGAAATAGAGGTTGTTATAATGTTAATATATACGGCTGACTAGACACACACACATCGATATAGAGACATATATCAGCGTAAAAGTACATAATGAAGTTATGAAGAACTCATAGATAAATATGATACTGACAACACAACTGTCCACGAATATTCCTTCTTTATCAAAAAAAGATTTAGTGTAGGATGAATAGTTTTATCTCGATTGTTTTTTTTATTCAAGTTTTGTTAATTTTATTTAAGAGAACGTCTTCCTAACGATAATAATGTTCTTAAAAATTTACATATCGATCAAAATTTAATTATGTTAACAAAAGAAAATGGTACATATTCATATGATGATGAACTACAATCATCACCGTCGAGAAGTGTACCATCTATACCTGAAGATAAACTTCATCGAGTAGGTATTGTTATTTAAAATATAAATAAAAACGAAAGATTATTATTTATTATTTAGAGAAATCCACATACAGTACGACAAGAACTTAAAATGTTTGATGATTTCGCACCAGAAACAGATTTATCAGATATACATCTAAATGAAATGCCCGGTCTTCATAATACAGGTAAACATTTTTTTTTCCTCTGATATATAAAATTTCTAATTTAATTAGATCAATGGAAACGTATTGCTGGTCGAACATTTCACTCGTCACCACCATTATCTCGTCAATATTATCAAACGATTACATCAACATTAGAATTACAAGACGGACAAGTACCACAACCATTAGGTTCATATCGACGACCAGGTCGTAGTCCAAACGAACCATTTAATTCAGAAATTGCTAAATCTACTTGTCGATTACCACGTCGTCGAATTTTATTTGGTTCATTTATAGCTGTTGTAATTATTGCTATTGTCGTTTCTGTTATTCTCGCTGTTATGATAGGTAAAAAGAAAAGAATTGAAAATACTAATTAATAATCAAATTTTTTATGTTTTTTTCTAATTACAGTTCCAAAACCGAGTACAACAACAACAACAGTTTTTTATGAAGGAAGAGTTCATGTTATTGCACAATTTAATAAATCACTTTTAGATCTATCGTCAACATTAGCTAAAAGCTATCAAGGAGAATTTTGTTCATTGGTAAACACAATAGTTTTTCTTTATTTTTCTTTTGCCTTAACAATAGAACTATTTTCTTTTGACTATATACATATTTACAGTTCGTGACAGATGTATACAATAATATGCCATCCTTTTTTGTGCTTTACGTTTTATTAGATTTTCTTTAAATCCCAAGTTAATACAAATATTTGAGATCTTCTTCTTTTTCTTCGACACATATTATAAAAGGAGAAGAAAAAAAAAGTCATTTCATATTTAATTCCCATGATATCATTTAGTCAATTCTTATTCATATCATTGATTGACTATTCTTATCGAATGTATCATTTACGCTTGGTTACAGTCGACAAAATGTTAAGCAAGAAAAAACCAAGAGAAGATAGATTAGGATTATTACAAAAAGATCGGAGAAGAGAAGAGAGAGAGAACAAGAAAAAGTTTTCTTTCTCTCTCTCTCTTGTTTATAATTCGCTCATGTTCATCTATCTATCGATCGATCGGTTGGTTCACGATTATTTATTCCAGTGTAGAGCCAATTTGATTTCTATCTACAACTATCGAGATAGAATGTGCATGCAACAAGTAACAAAATTGAATTAGATCGAGCGTGTGCCTGTTTCGACCAGTCTTCTTTTCTCTTGAACAAGTCGTCGTTTTTTTTCGGCTGAAGGCTTTTCTTTTTCTCTTATCTATATATACATTATTTAGATTGGAACAACATTAGCTGATACAAGAACGAAATATGCTGCATTTTATTCAACTTGTACTGTAACTTCTTTTCATCATGGAAGTATTATTGCAAATTTTGTACTTGGTTTTACACGTTATCAAAATGTAACACGTCTTAATTATTTTCTTAATCGTACATTAGTTAATAAACAATTATTTGGTGGAACAATTTCATCTATAAGATTTAATTTAACTTTATATAATTCAAATAGTACTTATCCAAATTCAACTGATTATTATGATGAAGATAATTCTGATTTTGCAGCTTATCCAGAAAAAATTATAATGACTGAACAAAATTCTACAAATGAATTACAACAACAACAACAAACTGCACATACATCGTATACAACGGTTACATATACAACACTTGAAACAGGTTTGTCTATTACTATATCAGAAACTATAACAATTACTAATAATAATAATAATAATAATCTTGAAAAATCGCCTATTAATAATAAAAATTATGAGCTTATATTAATACCAACAATTGAAAATGGAAAAACTGTTGCTGTTCCTACTGGTAATGGGAATGAAAAACCTCCTTTACCACCAGCATCATCATCATCATCATCATCACCACCGCCGCCAACACCACCGGCACAATCACCACCACCACTAACAACAGCATCATCAAATATAGCCCCAACAAAAACGTCATCTCAACTTAATCTTATTCGACCATTGAAAAAATTTGGTGATACAAATTTTGCTTATATTGATGCATCAAGTGATGATCCTACATATAGTTCAGGAGATGGTATTAATATAAATGTATCCTTGTGTAATTTGTTTGTCCTTGATTCCCTTTAGAATTGCTTTTCTTTTTAAACTCAACTTCTTCTATTCTTATTTCTCTCATTTAGTTTCATCAACTTTAGGAGATCTAACTACTCGAGATTCTACATCAACAGCATCAACAGTATCACTTGATAATGGAACAATAACAGATTCTACTTCTACTCTAGCGGATAACTTTATTTTACCAACACCATCAAATACAACAACAAAAGGAACTACAAATCGACCTACTACTACAACGCGTCCTCCGGTGAAAACTAAAAATGAGAGTAGCGAAGAAAAAAAACCCTCACGTCCTAATTCAAATGTAATAAAACGACAACGTCGTATGATTGTACCAAAAACTCAACGTCGTCTATTACAATATGAATTAATGCCAACAGGAAAAGTGTATTATGTTGATCGGCCAATATATAATGAAAATCAAAGTTTTCATTATGATAATGATGATAATTCAAGTACTATACTTAGTACAATATTATCTCGTTCAAGTTCAGTCGATACATTGAGTGATAAACGTTATCGTCATCATCATCATCATCAGCAACAGAATCGAAAATATTACCATGATTTATCATTGAAAAAAAATGAACAAAAATTATCAGTCGGAGGAAGATTAGCATCAAATCATAATTTACCAACAACAACAACAATATCATCATTTAAACCAATAAATACGAATACTAAAAAAAATCGATTTTCTTCATTTGAACCAACACGAGAATCATTAGATCAAGTATTTGATGTTTTAATTGCAGCTGATAAACGACGAGAAGAAAATGATTTTTGGAGAGAAAAATTCGAACAACGTACACCAATTTCACGTGCACAAATCGTTAATAATCGAATACAACATGCAGCTAATACAAATACAATGCCATTTTTTCGTTCAAAACAAACACAACCATCTCCAAATTCTATTTTGAATCATAATGATAATCGTTCACAATCTTATACCAATAAGCGTACTTCATTATATGAAGCTACTAATCGACAGAATGGTAATTTATTAGAAGATTGCCTTCGACGACGAACACAAATTGTTCAACAACAACCACCACAACAACAACAACAACTACCACCACCAATAACAGAACGTAATTATTCACCAAATACGATTTATTCTACAAATTATCCTAAACATCAATTACCTCCAACTGGCAAACCACCACTTCCTACAACAACTACTGCTACTCATCAACCCGTACGTATTCTTCCGTTATCGAATGGTCGCTTAGGTCGTGCTCCACAAGCTCGACAAACATCTGATGATCTTTCTTCTACATCCGACGTATGGGCAGCACGTTCATCGATAGAAGATGAAACTCGTCCAACTAAAAAATCATCACTTCATGCACGTTTTCCATCAGCTATTAATCGTCCTCGAACCAATGAACCAAAAAATCTTAATAATAAACGTGCATTAAGTGTTGGACAACAAAAACCAAATCGAACACAAAATAAAAATTTATTAACAACGTCAGCAACAACAACAAAAAGCAAATTTTTTGATTTATTTAAATTTAATCGTTAGTTTTCTTTTTTTTACATAAGCAATGAATTGATATATATATATATATATAATCTTATAGTCAAATAAAAACCGGGAAAAGATATTTTCCAGCTTGTTGCATCCCATAAAAAAAATAAATAGAAAATCCAATTATCATCCATAGGATAAATCGTATCCATGTTATAAAACTTAATTTTAACATTAAATATATATTACAAAAAATACTAAATATTGGTAACCAAGGCACAAATGGTGTTAAAAAAATATTTCCTGATTCATCCGAAATATTCTGTTTTCTACTGCAAAAATTTTTGTAAATCATATTAATTAAAATATATAATAAAAATAAAAATATTAATAATATTAATGGATCTATATAATCATGTTGTTCAAATGAATAAATTGATATAAAACATAATATTATTATTATTACTATTATAGATGATATATTTTTTGTTAATTCATAACTACTGTCATCTATAGTTTCATAACGTGATATTAATACAGCTAATGCAACTTGTGTATAGGCAATTAATGTACCTATACTTAACATTTCAACTAATGTTAATAAATCAAATACTAATGCCATTACGGCTGCTAAAAAACCACCAATAAGTGTTGAATAAATTGGTGTATGAGATCTATTTGAAACTTTACTAAATATTGGAAATAGAAGGCCATCTGATGCCATTGAATATAAAACACGAGGTAATGGAAATAACGATCCAATAATACTTGATGTAAGGCCTGTAACAGCTCCAAGGGTAACTAGAAAATAAAATATGTATATAATCAAGAAATGTATATATATATTGATAAAAATTCATACTTGCAATCTTTACATGTGAAAGTCCAACACGATCGAATGCATCAGGTAATGATGCATCGACTCTTATTGAATAATAAGGTACTATAAGTGTTAATACAGCACTTACAGCACAATAAACAAAACAACAAATAAAAAGAACAAGACAAATACTAATTGGAATTGCTCTTCGAGGATTTTCTGTTTCTTCACCTGTCGTTGCAACAAGATCAAATCCAACAAATGCATAAAAACATGTAGCTGCACCGGATAATACACCTGAAAATGAATATGGTAAAAATCCACCAGTTCCTGCTCGAATTATTGTTTTATTCAGTTTCATTTCATTCATTGATATATGCCAATTATCAGTATTTACTTTGAAGAGACCACTTATAATAATAACTTAAAAAAATCATAAAGAAAAAAAATTTTTTGTTATAAATTTACTTGCTACACTAATTAAATTAACTAATGTACAAAAATTATTTGTTCGACTTGATTCTTTAACTCCAATAGCTAAAATCATAGTTGTAATTAATGTCAGACCAAATGCTCCTATATCCATATAGGGTGCAAACATATCAAATGGATTCGGAAATGGAAATGGAAAATTTGTTTGAAAAAAAAGACTCATACGGAAATTAATTATTGAATCAACTGAACTTGTCCATGCACGTGCTGCCGATGCTATCTATGCCAAATAAATGTTTCAATATTTTTTTAGAAAAAAAAAGTATTATTTACCAGCACCCACAATATATTCAAGAATTAAATTCCAACCTAGAAACTAAAATAAAATGACTATTATTAATAGTTTAAAACAATCAACCTGTAATAAAAGCTGCTAATTCTCCAATAATGACATAGGAATACACATAAGCAGATCCTGCACGTGGATATTTCGAACCTAATTCTGCATAGCATAAACCTGAGAACAGTGAAGCTATACCAGCAATAAGAAACGATAGAATAACACCAGGTCCAGCTAAATCACGTGCAACTGTACCAGCAAGTATATAAATGCCAGCACCTAGTGTACTACCAATTCCTAATGTCGTTAAATCGATTACTGTTAAGCATCGTCGTAATTGTGAATGAAGAGCATTAGCCGCCGTAATTCGTTTACGGCGTGATAAAACAGCTAACGTACGTTGTATAAAATTATTGTTCTCGATACTCATTTATAAAAATTTCAAATATAATCAGATAACTATTTAAGTTCACAAATGTTTAATGCGATTTAATTAAATCTAACTTATAAAAAATATGCATTACAGGATATAATTCACAATTTTTTCTCGTTAATATACGCCATTTGTCGTATGTTCGAAGTAGTGATGTATGACGGCCTTATCAACGTGCACAAATAAATGACTAGTAATAAATATATGCACGTATGCTGCAGTTTTTTTTCTTCCAGTAGTTTTTTTTTTATATTATATTTTTTCTCATTGCTTTCATGTGTGCGAACGACCGTCAAATGTAAAGAAAACTTCAATACTCTCACACATACATGACAACCGTGTCCTATAAACATGTGCAGCAATTAGAAAAGAAAAAAGAACAAAAGTAATAGTAAAAAGGTGTATAGAATGGAATTTTAAAATACTCTAATATATACATATATATGTATATTTATGATCTTATCTAGTAGCAGAAAGAGAATGTTTATTGATGGTAAAATGTGAAATAGATGTATATATATATTTGCAATTATTACACGCACGCATAGTAGCGTATTTATTTTGTTCAACCGAATCACTCCGCCTCTTTGAGGTTGTAATCGGTCACTATAATAATAGTAGACTACGCATTAGATGTAAAATGAAAAACGAAAGTGGGACGAACATTCTTCTTCTTCTTTTTCTTCTTCTTTTTTCTATAGCTGTCTTTTTTTATGAGCCGATTGAATATATTGAACAACGCGTACGTACAGTAATTCATATTCAACATATAGACGAATATTCGAGAGAGAAAGAAAGAAAGAAAGAGTCTCTTAAGCTAAGAGAAGATAGGTTTATATTACTTATTATGAATATCAAATTTTTTTACATCATACGACTTAATCGATGAATTAGAAAGACTAAAAGGCGTTGTCTGGCTTTCACTCATTTGTCTCGCATACTTACACATGCAATGCGATTTAGAATTATTTTGTCTCTCGTTTTATTTAGTTATATTATATAGGTTCATGATTGATTCATTAGATCCATAATTTCTTTTAGCTTTTTATAAATGATAATCACGCATGAAATTAAATTTTTGAATAAATTATTGAGTTTATATATTTCATAGATTAAAAACAAGAAAATTTTTCTCTAATAAACATTCTTCTTTCGAAATTTATTGAAGATATCTTTACACGTGTTGAATATGATAGGATCAAAATGATAAAAATCATAACATGATATTTATATTTTCTATATATCTTCTTCTTTTTTTTTTATTTATTCACATATTTTAAAAAACAGTTATAGACATTCATTAACTATTTACCGACTATAAAAAAGAAATCTGGTTTCATTTGAAATGAATATGAATATGAGAATATATTACTAAACATCTTGTGTGCGTGTGCATGTGCATGCGTGTGTATGCACGTATATATGGACACTTAGAAGTTTTTTTCTTCGTCGCCTTATGACCTATTTTCGAGAGAGTTTATATATATGTATAAGTATGTGCAGGCGTTTGATTATGGATTGAATGAAATACAAGTGTAGGTAATAAGTGTGGACAACGGCATATTTTATAAGTTTTCAACTTGACTCAAAGCATGGTACAAGTAGTGAAATATGAAATTAAGAGTAGACGAAACAGAACTATACTTGAAAATAATGATGATGCAGTCATCAAAATTTTTCGACTATTGTTATTTTGTAATGAAAACAGACATAACATGTATGGTTTATTCTGACCAACAAACAACATATTGAATAATAAAGATTCATTTTTTTGTTCTGTGTTTCTTTTTTTTTATTATCAAAAATATGGATTATTTTCTTTAGATCATCAAAGGTTCTTTTCTTGGTTGAGCTCACCACGTGTCATCTTCTCATTTAGCTCAATGAGTTTGGTTAACGTCGAGAGCTCTTCTACTCAATTATCATATTGTACAAAGGACACAATTTCAATTTTATATTGAACAAAAGGAGAAGATTTTCCTCGCTTCTCCTCCTTCTCCTCCTCCTTTTCACTTTGGACTTCACGTAGAGATATAAATTATAAATCATCGACAATAAAAACAACGACTATATGTCTATTGTCTTGTTGTAAAACGTACTATATACAAAAAAGGTAAACATTAAATATTTTCTTTCAGGTATCTGCACATAGTCCAGTGTATTAACTTTATCTGATGACTATCTTTTTTTTTGTGTGATGGATAATATAGATGAGCCGTCTAGTGCATCATATGATTATTTGGAGATATATGTATTGTTTTAAACAAAGAGAAAAGAAAGTGACTGCATAATATCAGTTTCTTACGTGTTCGTTTATTTTTTTGTTAGAGATATGTCTCATATTTTGAATAGTAAGAGACAACCTGATAAATCAAACAATCGATTTGTTTTGTCATCATTTATTTTCGCTTTCCTTTTTTGTTATTTGGTAGAAAATACAATTTTGGTTGACTTTTGATAGGCGATCAAGACTACGATCAATCAACGTGATTATTCTCCGCTACTACTTTACTTATACACTTTACCGTATATGTATACACACATACGATCGACAGTGGTGATAGCAATAAGCAACAACTGACCGTTTAATTACTAAAACGTAGGTATGATAGCCTAAAGAACTATTACACAAGGGAGCATACACCTGTACATGTATATACATAAATATATATATACGCACGTATATCTTTTAAAAAAAGCGCTTTTAACCTTGAGATACTGATGTTGGCAACTATTATCATTACGATGAAATAAAATGACACAATCACGTGTATATATTCGTGATCAAGACAATAGAAACTAACCACCTATTGTTGCTATTGTTCTTACAAGGTATAGCATATGAATGATCGAGTGCATTATGGAAATTGTTCGTTGAGGACATGAGTTCGGCAGAAGATCTTGCAATTTATAATTATCTCTTTCTTCTATAGTTATTAAAACTTTTTTGATTATTTAAAAAAAAACTTATAAGTATAACTTGAGCAATATTTTAGACAACAAAAGAAGGAAAGATAATTGCGAAGTTTTGTTTTTTTATGAGATACCTTTATATATATATATGATTAATGAGATGAACTGTACATTATTTGCTTTTTATGTTTTTAGGTTTACATGGCTGAATCATCGGATACGCCACCAAATAATCTTAATAATAATAATTCCAGTCTTATAACGACAATTCATCCAGCTGCAAAATTAGGTGGTCGCGGTACACCACGTCGTAAAACACGTCGTTCAAATTATAATATTCATTCAACACTTGTTGCAGCACGTACTTTAGAAAATAAATTGAAACCATTTCGTACACAATTTCAGTTATTTGATCAGCAAGATTTATGTGATGTTACTATTTTATATGAAGATGGTCATGCGGATCTACAAAAACAAGTACATGTTCATTCAACACGATCAATGAGTATACATGAAGTTGATTCATCTGAAGCAGGTACACAAACATTTCATATTGATGATCTTGATACAGTCACTAGTACACATTTCTTTGGTAATATTGAAAATTTTCAACATGAATTAAATATACAATCAACAACATCAACACCATCAACACCATCAATACCAACAACACCAACAACACCAACAACACCAACACCAACAAGTTCAACAAATTATTTTAATGATTTACAACAACGTCAATTTTATTCTCAACCATCTCCTTATTATATGCATGCTAATGCTTATCAATCAAATCCATATATGTTCAATTCTTTCGATGCGTATTGTCAAAATATACGTCAAGTTTATGGTGGTGCTAATGAACAATCAGATGATAGTGAAGAAGAAAAAGAAGACGAAGACGAAGAAGAACAAGAACAAAATCCAGCAACAGCATCAAAATCTAAACGAAGAAAACGGCGACGTAAACATGCGAAATCAATATCTGAACAACCACCAACATCAATTATTCCTCAACAAGAAAAACAAGGAGATATAGAAGGCGAAGACGAAGACGAAGAAGAAGAGACTAATGTTGAAAAATCAGTTGAACATCTTGAGAATGATGATATTACAACGCCAAAAACTAAACGTAGACGACGACGAGTACGAAAATCAAAAAAATCTCTTCCAACATCTTCATTAACCGGTGACCAAGCAGAATCTTCTATTATTATTCAACAATCTAATGCAAATCCACTAATATCATTAATCGATGACAATAATACTGAAATGATCTCGTCATCTTCAATACCATCAACGACTATGCCACGTGCTTCATCCTCTGACGTTCAAGGAAAACAACAAGAACTATTCTCAACGAAGAGCGGCATGCCTGAGAATAGTAATTTATTTAATATAAATGCTACGAACGTACTAAAGAACGATGAACAGGAAAACAAAGAAAAAGAAAAAGAAACACAACCAGGAAATTTTTTACAAAGAACTGCGAACATTTCTGCCGATGATAGTACTTTAACTACTCTTATTCATGCTACATCTGTTATCAATGATGTTGATAAAACAGAAGATGAAAGTAAGAAAATCACACAGCCTATCATTAGCGATGCAACTACAAATTTAAGAAAGATTTCTGTACCAGTGATTACTATCAATGAGTGTGCTGACAATGATGATGATGAAATATCAGATCAAGATGTTCCAGAAGAAAATCAAAGCAATACAGACAACGTTAGCATTTCATCTAATATAAAACAGTTATCTGAACAGCAAACAATACCAGATGATATTCAAGTAAATATATTTTTTCCACTCTATTCTAATATTTGATAACGTTAATAGCAGAAAAAAAAATTGCTTCATAATTAACATCATTTTCTACACATAAAATAAGATACATTATTCATAATTAGCTATTTTTTCTTTTCCTTTCTATTTTAACCTTAAATAAGTATGAGAAGCTTATTTTATTCTATGCTTTGTTTTTTCAATCAATTCCTTTTTTGCTCTATAATATAATCATCAAACATGCAAAGTATCGTTATAAAAAATAACAATGACTGCTTGTGAAATAACCTTGTTATATATCCAAAATAAAAATCCAAGGATTTATATGCAATCATCTTTCTCTCTCTCTCTTTTCTCTTTTTTTCTCTTTATAATAATAAATGTTAATAGATTTTGGACAAAACGACTAAAACGATTTTTCTATTTCGATTAATTTTCATCAATATCTATTTAACCTTGAATACTGATGTAAAAATAAAAAGAGAAAACATCATACTATTTCATTTTCACATCACGCTTAAGCCTTTACTGACTGGTAAATAGACAAAACGTGCCAGTTTTTTTCTCCTCCTCCTCCTCTTCTTCTTTTATAAGATAACGAATATATATACACATGAAAGAGAGAAAAACATAAACGTCAATACGAACGGAATTATAATTGTCAGTATAATAAACAGAAAAAAACCAAAATCGTTCCGCATCACCGAATGATTTTTATCGTTATAATTAATAGAGGAAAAATAAACGAAATAGTTTTCGATAAAAATCTAGTAGAATATTATGTGCACTCTGACTCAAGGGGCTAAACGAATCTATTAACAAAGTTGAAAAGGATATTTTAAAGTCCAAAACAATGTAAATATCATCTTTTTTTTTGTTATTTTGATTATTATGTAGAGTACATGTATTTAAGGCAATTATTAAGAAAAGAAGAAAAAGAAAAGAAACGTTTCTAATTTGATTATAATTTCAAAAGAATTACTTTCTAAATAAATTGCTTCTCTCTCTCTTTCCAATAGAATTTTGTACGTAATAATTATCCATTCAAATAAAATGTGCTTAGAATATATTAAATATATATTCTGTTAATACATATTCAAAATGCAATCTATTTGTAAATTGATCATGTATTAAAACTTCTATTGATTGTGCACACAGCTGTGTCTTTCTCACGTTACTAATGCGCTAAACAGGCTATTTCAATTTTTTTTTTCAATACCCTATATTACATGGAACAAAATGATTTATCGTATATTTCGTATTTAAAAAAAAACAAAATAAGGAAAAAAATAAGGTTTTAATTAATTTTTTTGCAATAATATTCAGTCTGTGATGTGTAAAACTACAGAGAACATATTGCCAGTTACACACCTGTTTCTATTTTTTTATTTTAGAAAGCCAGTACAAAGTGTGTAACGAATACTAACGAGACATCTTTATATAAAAATAATTTTGATATGAATGACGAAAATCATGATATTTCGTCTACTCAAACGAAACTTCAACTAGAATCTGTTGTTAATCAATCATCAATAATAAGTTCGGAATCAACTGACAAAACAAATGTATCTCAAGATATACCGTTAACATCATCAGCTGAAATATCAGTTAAAGAAAATTTGCCAACAGATGGAAAATATGCATCAGTTAGTATTTTAGACGAACCACGTCGCCATACAATATCATATTCGAGACCATCGAAATATAATGATTCTATTAAAAAACAATCAAATAATGACATGCATAATACAAAACATGATTTGGCTTATTTATTAGGATCTGATAATGATTATACGAAAATAAAAAATTTGAATCCTGATGCACCGGATTTTAAACCAACTGATTTTAGACCAAGACATTCTTCTGATTTTTTTGTACCAGCACATTCAAAACGACGTGCAACACACACTGATTCTTATGATGATCGTCATCCACGTACACGAAACCATTCCGAAACTCAACAAAGCCGTGAAAGTTTAACTTCAATAAAACCATTATTATCAATTGTACCACAATATATACCTCCTCATCGACATTCATGGAATCCACCAGAACCATTGTTATCAATATCACGCTCACGATCGCAACCAAATGATTATAATACATCAACTTCTGATTCAAGACGATCATCTCTAATTTATTCACCATTAATGGAACAAGTAATAACACTTGATGATGATGATGATGAAAATCATTTTTCTTTCAATCAACAACAACATAAACAAGTACCAAAACGACCACGTACTAATTCAGGTCGAACTTTACTACATTTACCCAATCAATCAGCATCTAGTCGACAACGTTCACATTCAGGTCCTGAACCATCTTTACAAGCACCACCTTCACATCTTAAAGGTATTCATTCTTTAACAAGAATAATGATTGATTTATTACGATTGATTAAACCAATATCGGAACAATCAAAACAAGATTATGAATCAATATTATTGACAAATCTAGATTCGAATTCATCGATACAACAATCTTCACAAAGTGAAGAGCAAGGGAATAAAACAAGTGAAGTAGAAGGTGATTTTATTGATGAAAACAAGTCTACAACACCATCATCATCATTGCGATTACCGGTTGATGACACAGCAGGTAGTTTTTTAATCGATTAAATCGTTTTTCGCTTGAATATTCACTCATGATTTTATTCAAGAATCACTTCATCGAATTTCTTAGTTTTTAAATTCAAAAAAATTATTTCAATAATTAATTGAGTGGTTTTTAATGAATTATTAGTAAATAGTCCTTCTTTTACAAGATCATCTATAAATATAGATCTATTTCATGTGAGAACATCTGTTTCTATTACGCAATATAAACAACAAATGAGAACAATGTAGAGATCTTTATCTTTGATATTATCTTACAGTATTCTTTTACATAAGAACATGTCAGTCATTTCAGGAAATGGCAGGAGTCATGTTAATTCATGAACAACTGTTCAGTAATTAATTGAAGATTTTTTTTTATTAAATTGATCACTTAATTATTAAACAATTTTTCACTTTAAGTATAAGTATAAAAAAAAAACATTATTATTAATAAAAAAAAAATATCGAAAGAAAAAAAAAGCCGCAGTGATTAAGATATATGAGTCTTATGAGAGAAAAGGTGGAGTAGCCTGATGTGTCTTCATTTTTTCTTGCCGGTAACGATGATTAATGATTATATCTAAAGAAAAATGAATCGATCGCACGCTCATGTATCGACAAAATATGCACTATTTGATTATCGTCATAGACATATTGTCGAGCTATAATATATACATAAATATATATATTTTTCACTGTATCTCATTAGATTCAGACAGACAGCACATAAAAACCGTTGCAAGTACATAATTTATTGAATGTATATAATCATCTCAAAATTAGTTATATATCGACATTGAATTAAAGTTCTATTCCGTTTTATAACCTGAATAAATATATATAATCTTTCTTCATTTTAAACACTCACATTTCTATAGTCATATAAGAAGATGAAGAAGAGAAAAAAAAAAAGTTTATTATATGAACATATACAGATTAAGGCTATAGACAATAACAGAAAAGTAATCTTTCTATTGAAGCTAATTGGACTTTGTATATATATAAATATATATGTATATAATATATAAACGCAATAGGAGACGATTGTTGACAGATAGAATCTCTCGAATTATTTTACATAATAGTCTTTTTTTTTTGTCAATGAGAAATAAATATTGATGAGAGACAGCTTTGTTGCTTGATTGTGTCATCAATCAAATATATATTTACTTCATTATAATTTTCTTTTCTAATAAGAAACTAATATGGTAACAATAAACATTTTTATGAAAAGAAAGAAAGGAAGAAAATTATATGAGTGCTATGTCGATATGCTTATATTTTGGATATTATATCAAAAGGTATAAAAGCGTTTGAAAAAAAGTGATGTATTTCTAGTAAAAAAAAGCATTGAAGCGTGCGAGCAAATATTATTCATATAACCGACACCACAAGTGTTTGTACAATAGACCATCGTCGTATATAATTTTAGTTAACGAATTTTAACCTTTTAATAGCGTCATTTTTCTTTTGTTTGATAGATAGTTATATAACTTATATCATACATATTAACAATATATAAAAATGATAGATATCTATTCTTTTTCCTCTACAATAGAGTGACTATATGTTGATAAAAATCATTAAATGCATGCATATATATACAGACTCAAAACTCAATTTTGTTCATATAACTGTTCAAACATTGTATCAACGATCGAATGAATATATATATATATATTTATTGATAGAGATCTGTTTCGCCTTTTTTTTCACAATTAGAGAAGGACGTTGAAAAATTGATTGAAAAAGAATTTAAAATAATTGAAAAAAGAAAAGAAAATTTTAAATTGATTTTATTATTTAGGTGTATTGAACGAGGATAAAAACTCGTCAACAAATTTCAATGATAATGAACCGGAACACAAATTACCATTGATTTCATTTAATAGAAATGAAAACAAGATTGCATCAATACATTCTGCACCTGATGAACCATTTAATGAAAATACGAATGAAAAGAAAATAAAGGAATCGATCTCAACTTCTATTATAGGTACGATTGATGCTCGAGCAACTAATTGACTTGACGCTAACGTATATGTTACACTTTCTTCTTCTCTAACTCTTAGATCAAGTATGCTAATTAACATTAATAATAAATTTTGAGTGAAATATAATGACAGAATATTTATATATATTATTTTTCTTATAATACGCTTTAGCGCTGGCCAATATTGATTAGTTTCTCATATAATATGTTTTTGCTTTATAACCCGTTTTTTAGCGTATGCATGTGTATTTGTCTGCATTTTCTGTATTTTTCTTTATTCTCTTCTCTTATTCAGAACCTTCTACTGAAGAAGAAGACGAAGAAGACGAGGAAGAAAAATCCAGTAATCGAAGCCGACATATGGCAAAAAAAGCTGACGATGAAGAACAGCATAGACAACAACAACAACAACAACAACACCACCAACAATCAAATTCTACAATTTCGTC